ATTATCATATAATATAGTAAACAACGAGATAACCGAAAAAATGGTTGATAAAGGCAAGCGCAAACTTTATGAAACTAGTACAGGTACTTCCAGCGCAACAAACAAGATCAAAATAAGGTACTGCACATCAAAAAAAAAACTCTTGTAAGCAAGCTTAAATAAATTAACATACATGTATATATTCAAGTAGTGACAATAATAATCATAAGAATAATCATAATATAAATAAAAATCAACGCGTAGTTGATCGTTCAAGGTAATCTATTTTAATTAACCAATCTAAACTTGCGTCATCATCATCGTCATCGCCATCATCGTCATCATCACCATCGCTATCAATTAGAGAATACTGTTGAAATTTAATAATATCATTAATTTTGTTTTTTTAAAAGTGATTGGTCATCTTTCATCACCTCAGAAAATTACCAAAACACGTTATCTCGAGTTGACTCGGAAACATTTATTGAAGTAGTCACTAAAAGAATTAAAAATATAGAAAACAAGGATGATTTGTTAAATGATATTCTTGACTTTGTTCCTGAGAATGGGTTTATTGTTGCTAAATTAAAATAATAACAACGTCACTTTTAGGTTTTAAAAGGTTTGGGGCAAACAAAATTTAGAGGACTTGGAGGACTTGTAGCTATTGTTTGTAGATGACAATGAGAAAGGGTGTAAATTGATGAGAATTATAAGTGGTCATCATTATTAATGAAAAAAAAAATTTGAGCTATATAGAAGTGAATTTTTTTAGTAAATAAATTTTTTGTCTTAATAATATAATAACATTATTGCTGCTAATCGGTCTAAAAATCAAGTAGTATATGAGTATTAAAAAAAATCATTACGCTGCAGCTATTAATATGATCTATTTTTCTAAATGTCTTGAATTTCGACTTTATAATCAAAGGCAGAACGAAATCTCTCTATAATTAATTTTATAAATAAATTGATAATTTTTGAAATTCTAATTTTTGATTAATAGTAGTAAATAGAATGTGAATATTTAAAACAATGATAATCACATTTTTCCCACTCAAAAAAAATAAAAAATAAAAAGTTTGTGTCTTTTGTGTATATTATAGTTTTATGATAATTGATGTTTCTTCTTATATCCACTATGTACTCTTCCTATCTCATAAGTTGTCATCCAACCATCAGGCCAAATTGTCAAGAGCTATAATTTAAATATGAATTAAAAGAAAAAAAGTTTGTTTTTATTTTAATATTCTAATATCATAAAGAACAAAAATAGACAAGTAGATATAATTACGTGTTGATATAAATTTTTTCTACAAGTTAGTTCTGAAAGCCTTGTTGGTTTTTCTTCTGACTCTCTATTTTTTAAAAAAATAATAAAGCAAGCAATATATTATATATTATATGATCAATTAAATAAACTTACGCAAGTTGATTAGTCATTTCAACTATGGATAATTCTGTTCGAATGATTTCATACAATAATGATTTTGTTCTATTATTCCAACAAAATCTTTTTGGTAAAATTGAATCGGGTTTTTTACTTTTTGAAGTTTTTTTATCACATCCTATATTTTCAGCATCGGTATTATTCAATGATGATGGCGACGATGACGGTGGTGGTAACGATGGGGAGGAGACAGGCTCCAATCTTGCTAATTTATCATTATATTCATTTAATAGATCAGGAATTATTTCGTCAACTGAACTTTTCAACTGTGAAATCAAATCAGATTTTTTTAACTTTGAATCATATATTGTTTTCGGATAAATTGTTCTGTAACAAAGTCGCTAAATAAAAATATAATAGCAATTTAATAAATCGATAATAATTGCAATATAACAATAATATAATAGTAAAAGAAAATTATTATTAACTGTTACTGTGAATTTATTATATGGTAAGATATTTGTCAACACATTAAAAAGGATGTCGTTAAATTCATCAAGTTCATATGCTTTACAAAGTAATCTAGTCAAATTAGGGTTGAGAACTTGAGGAAATTTTGATCTAACACCAAAATTTTCTAGAAATATTTAATGATGATAACTTTTTTTTAGGAATAATCTCAATAACAAAATATGGTATAACACAAATATGAATTTTTATTTAATAACTAACCCTTTGAGACTTCATTCTTAAAAAAAGAGATAAACTCTTGTAGCTCTGGATGAAGTGGATCCTACAAGAATTAATTATTAAGAAATTTTATATTAGTTTGATTTATTTGAAGGATTGATATTGTATTGAAACCGTTTTCTATTACCACAAGATTATGGTTATTATCATCTTGAGTGTCGATTTGCATTGAATTGTTTAAATCAAGGGAAACTCTTTGCTGCTGCTGTGATTTTTGCTTATTTAAACTAGTGTGCGAAGAAGAAAAAACATCTTGATTCTTTATAGTAGGAGTTCTTGTATTCTTTGGAGGAGCTTTTCTCCTTGTTTTCTTGACTTTTCCACTTATGTCAGATTTATCAGATTTTTTGTTCCATTTTTTACGAGGTTTTAGATTTTCCTCGTCACCTTTTGCCATATTCTCCTCTTCCTCCTCTTCCTCCTCATCCTCCTCCTCATCACCATCATCATCCTCATCATCACCATCATCGTCATCATTTGATTTTGCTGTACGCTTATATTGTCTTTTTCTTAGATTTTCCTTGTTACCCATTGCCATCCCTTCATCACCATTTGCAACTTTCTTGTCATCCTTTGCTTTTGCTTTACACTTGTGCCTTCTTTTTATTGGATTCTCCTTATCACTGTTTTCCATTTCCTCGTCATTCCCTGCTTTGGCTTTACGTTTATATTTTCTTTTTTGGTGAGTTTGCTCATCATCATTTGCTATTTCCTCGTCATCATTTGCTATTTCCTCGTCACTAGTTACTTTTGCCTTACGTTTATATTTTCTTTTTCTGGGAGTTTGCTTATCCCTAATTAATTAATTATCAATGGATCAAAAATGATACATCAATATAATTAATTAATTTACAAATAACTTGATAATTAATTATATACATACGAATTTTCCAATACTAACGGCCCTCTCCAAACGTAGTAGCCATCAATTTTCGGACGAATTTTATCTTTATCACTTTGAAATGATGGTAGATCACTGTCATCGACGAAAGGATCCGAAATATCATAACGTTCCACTCTTTTAGCTCTCTTCTTTTTACCATCCTAAATATAATAAAATCGTTAAGAAAACGCTTAAAATAATTCAAATTTATGAAAAAAAATATTTTTACGGTATTATTTTCTTCATTTGCATATTTTTCTGAATTCTCTAATATTCTTTTAAAAAAATCATTTCCCGAGTCATCAAAATCGGGTGGCGGTTGTAGTGGTTGGTTTGGTGAAGAGGAGGAAGGTGAAGTTTGTGGCGATTCAAAAGACTCGTTATTGTTATCGTTTGTTTCATTATCAGAAAACTCTAGACTTTCCGAATCACTTTCAGAAGTTGAAGGATAAAGACTTGAGTGTGGATTTGGAAGCTCTATACCGGCTTCTTTGCATAAATCAGGAAAACTAAATATATTGTTATCAGGCTTTGTTAATTCAACTTGAAGTCTAATTACTCTTGAGAGTAATTCTGGACTACTTTCTTTATTTTTAAGTAATATATTTCTCAACATTTTTTAAAAAGCAACTTTTTTTTTTTAGAAAAAAAAAATTTATAATTGTTTTTTTTTTAATGATAATACTAATACATATTTTTTAATCATAATCATAATAAAAAAATGAGGGATGACTAATATCACCCAAAATAATTTTTAATAGTCCATTAAATATGTCTCGTCGTATTTGTCATCATCTTTAATAGCGGCGTTAATCTTTTCATGATTACCACGTCGTTGTTGTTGTATACCAGATCCTTTCAATTCTTCATGTCCAACTATTTTTCCCAAACCTTCCTATAAGAAAACAAAACAAAAAAAAACAAAAAGTATCAAATTTTTTAGCAGTTATTTATTTTCCATCAATCTATATCCATCCATCCAATCAAATCAAATTAATCATCATTCCAACCAACCTTAATTGATCCAATAA